GGCATCTTGAGACTAGGGCGACGTCTGATGTTAGTCGAGCTGTTACCCATCGGATGGTTGTCTTGTTCGTGGTTGTCATACTCTCTGGGACGCCTGGTGAGCCTTGTCGTTCTCAGCGCGAGCCAAGTCACGCAGTCTATCATATTCGCGCTCGACATCGTCATTATCAGCCGAGCGCAGGGCTAGGAGGTCTCGATTAGCTTTCGTTCCGGAATGATATCGTTTGCGACTAGGAAAGAGAGGCGCATACCGCGTCCGCCCAACCTTTCCATGGGAACCGCCATTGCGTCGCGTCTGATGGACCCCGGGAGATTTGTGAAGAGATGCTGAGAATTGGTGGAAGGGCTGCGTTCGTAGCGGCGGCGCTTTTAAGATTGGGCAACAATTGGTGTTGTCGGTGTGAAAAGCTGTAGGCCGTGGATCGGCCCAACTTGATTGACTATGGGGACTCTGACAGAGTAGAATGTGGCTGGTGGGGTTCAAGTTGGTTTGCAAACCGACAGCAGTCGACACTGAACTACGCACGCATCACCAAACGATCTGCATCATTTATATCGCCCTCCTCTTGCATATACAATGGCAAATTGATACAAAATGTGCGTCCAAGAGTCCAAACACACAGCAAGTATCAAGGCAAACCAACAAACACAAGTATTGAACCTACATCTAGGGTAAGCTGCACAACCACGAGGGAACATTGAACAGCTTCGCCCATAAGTTATAACATAGCACCAACCCGCACGTCGCCAAACATTTATGCTGGCAACTCTACTCCGTAAGCGAAGGACTAGATGGATAATGCGATGGATCCGTCTCGCGACTCTCGCGACAAGGATGTGGGCGTGTAACTAGCTTGCTGTTCCATTTTTGCTTTTGGGTCGGGCATTACCACGTACGGAGTACCCGAGCGCAAATTGGAGAGATCCCTCTCAGAGTGAACAATATTACCCTGATTCTACTAGTACTGTTCCAAGACCCCGGCAAGTGGAAACGCGGAATGCTTCTGGAAAAGTGAAAAGGTCGCTCCGGAGATTGCGCCGCACGTCGATAGGCCAACTGCCAACATACATACGGCGCAACTGCAGTGTGATGTCCTCCTCATTGATCGATTTGACATGGAGAATCGAGACTGTGGCGACAATACTCATAAGAAGCAACAACTACCATCCTGAATCACCTACTCGCAGCCCGTCAAGGGAGCGGCAGTGCCAGAGTTCGAAACTGCTGAAAACATAGCCACATCATCGTCTGCCGTTTCTGTGAATGACCCGAAGGACTGGAGATGGAACTAATCCGCGACCCGTTCCTATTCCTGTGCACTATTCCAACACGAGACACCTGGAGGAGTCATATCAAGATGAGGTCGGATCGGATCTTAAACCTTTGCGGGGAAGAGCTGGCATAGGTCGCTTCCAAGAGGAACAGTGATAAATAAGTCGTTTGGACTTGTAATATTCCATGTTTTGACCATTTGGTATTCCGATCCAATGCCAACTCTTACATTTTTCTGAACAGCACAATGATAGAGAACGATTGAAGGGATGGGCTTCTCTCGGGTGTGCATACTCGGTCTGAAAATTGTCTCTCAACCAGAAACAACGTTTGAGACTTATATCAGGCTCTTCCTGGTCATAAATCTGCAAGGAGAAGGGCAGTTGTGTAGAAAGCTGATATTGTATTGGAGATGCTTTGCCAATGAGCCAGAGATGACGTCCCTCCCTCAGTCTCGCCTCAAACTTACGGCTAAAGACCAGCATTTGCAATAGTACAATGTGTATGTATACGGAGTACATATACACAGTATTGATCCAAGGCGGAGTGTGCGTTACAGAGACTCATGCAGGCCAGGGTAGGGAAATTGCACACCTGGTGCAGCCGCCGTATCTAATTTGAGCCACATTGTCAAACAACACTGTACATACATACATAAGTACATTGATGGAGTATTCCATCCGGATGCTAGGCGATGGGATGGTGCATGGGTTGCAATAACTGAAAGGATGGCAGGTGAAGTCGTTTCGTCCACGACAGGCTGACATAAACGCGACCATCCAGACAGACCTCGTACAAGGAACGGTGGATCTCGTGGTGTCACTTGGCCGTGGCCCGTGGCCGATCTGGCGCAGGAGAGCGCTCGTCCGGCAACATGTAAAACAACGGCACGCTAGGCTGGCGCTGACGTCTGAAGCAAAATCTGGAGTTTGAGTCGTGTTGACTCTTGAAGGCTGGGCGCGAATAGGTTGGCGACAACCCTGTTCATGTGCAACTAGTAACTAATACCAATGCAATGCCTCTTCGTTGGTTGGCGACCCTGTCAGCAGCCAAATGGAACGCTGACCTGTGAGAAGTTCACTACTACCTCTTAGCAAGAACGCTTTGATTGGTTACAATGATGAAAGAGGTGGTCGCCCAACTACCTAGGTAGTGAGAAGTCTCCGTTTTCGAGAGGAGGATAACTAACCAGCATCCATTTCCTTTGGTAGGAAGTGTGAAAAATGTCTGAAAACGCCCTCATAGTGTACCAGTTGTCGTTCAGCACGAAAGTTACAATATATTTGCACCTGGGATGCTACTTCGAGGCCAGGAGCGCAATCCGCCATGCGTCAGTATGTGCCTGTTTTTCTTTCCTGCTATTACTATACGTTATTACTCCGTATACCTGACCACGTCGGTATTGGCAGCGTCATGGGGTGCTGGTCTTGGCTGGCGATGGTCAACTGCTCGTCACAGCACTCGAGACATGGCCAAAACAGTACCATCCAACTGAACAACACTGTCACTGTCTTGATCAGCAGGGCGGAGTAATACGTGGCTCCTCGTACTACGTACAGAGCACAACACGGAGTACTCCGTACTCCAGCCACTTTGTGCAACAAGGCTTGATCCGCCAAAACAGCGTGACAAGGCCCCTCATGCACCTGGTTCTACCGCCCACAGCTCCGCAAGCCATCCTGGTCTTTCGTTGTTCTGGTTTCGTTTCAGCGACTCCGTTCAACCAAAGATGCCTAGGCATGGGGCAATTGGTACTCCGTACCGGTTAAATAATACCACAAGGGTAGAATGGTACCTAGTTGTGGAAAAATCTGTACCTGGTCCAAACAGACGTGAGAACAAATTACCTTGGCTTGGCCTACACTAGGCTGTTCAGGGACATCGAAATGAGACCATGGATGGAGACGGATTTCCCCACTCTATGGCTGAACCAGGCCAAAGACGGTGGTCCGGGGCCGACATGGCGCTCTCGCATTGGTATCCTCTGGTCAGGAACGCTCGAGCTTGTCTTAGCTGAGCTGCGGACTGACGAAGTTGCGGCACGGAACACGGTAACCCTGTCTGGTACCCCTGGAGAGAAAAGAAAGAGAATGGATTCGGTGATTTCGAAGGAGCACCTAATAAGTGCTACGTCCCCCCCGAGCGAGAAATGGCTTTAGTTTGTCCGTAGTTGTGTTTGCTATTGCAGGGTAAACGAAGACAAGACGACCTTGTATCAAACGGGCTCTCATTTGCAGTCATTGACAGTGGACTGTGAAGTCGGGCTGAACTCGGAGACCAGACAGGGTGAGGCGATCAGTCGTGCCAATGAATTCTGCGCACTGTATAGGGTACAGTGCCGGGACGGAACGGCCTGCAAGAATGTCGCCCTCTTGACCTATTTTGCGTAAACCCACAGTGCGAACTGCATGACCCGCCTTGCCGCCTTGCTTGTTCAAGTACGGAGTATTACTCCTGGCCCTGTCATGGCCCAACAACCTTATTCATCAGTGGCGGCACAAGAAAAAGAGTCGAAAGTGAGCACCGACCCTTATTAGCGAGGGCGAGAGTCGAGAGTTATGGCAACGAGCATTCAAATACTGGTCCTGGTTATGTTTAGATGTAGATGCAGGTAGAGTAGATGTGCTGTCGCCGGAGTATGCGCGAGATCAATAGCAAAGCGCAACCAGAATCTTCAGAAACGAAGGGTGCATTCCGACCAGACATCTCTTCAAGGCTGGTCAAAGTCCAGATGTCTGCAAGATTGGTCGACGGCTGGTGTCTCTGCTCGTCGCTGTCTGGCTTCTGAGCCTCTGGTTGGCCTTTGGCCCCTTGGCCATGCAAGTCAGGAGCGAGTGAGTGCCCACTCTTTCCAATCTCACTTGCACCACCCCAGCCCAGCCCAGTCCAGCCAGAGCCAAAGTCAAAGCCAAGCCCAGCCCTTTCTCGTCTCGACGGTTTCCCTCCTGCTTCCTCCCCCTTCGCAGCTTCCCAAGTTCGCGGTTCGCAGTTCGCAGTTCGCAGCTTCCCACTGTCACCCCCGTTCAAGTGCTCAAGTGCTCGGGTGCCCCAATCTCCAATCTTGACTAGGCCGGTTGACGCCGTCTGCGCCGTCTCCTTCCCCGACAAGCCTCTGGCTTTGCGCCCTCTCGTCGTCTGTCGCTTCTTACCTCCTACAACACTTTGACTGCATTCTGCAGTGTCTGCACTCAATTGGCACATCTCTGGTGAGTCGGTGCTGTCGATTCTTCAACTTCTCCTCAATCCCCGTTAGAGCGTTTGAGCTTCTGCTGTACTGCGTTGTCGCTCTTTACCCCCCGACCCGTCCAGTCTCCATCTTCGCTTACCCCTAGGAGGCGCGGACCAAGTATTTCATGCAATCGCACGACTCGTGACCTCTCTTCAAATAATACACACGCCCCGTCGTCCCAGTCAAGGCCACTGCCACTGACTGTAGTCTCTCGATGCTTTCTGTTCCCCTCTCTGCATTCTCGAGTGTCGCTTTTGGGTGGTTGTTGTCGACGCATTGTCCGGAGCCTCTGCGAGTGTCTTAGTCTTACACTCTTGTTTTTCATCTCGCCTGCTGAGCCCCCTTATTTGCTAACCAGATCGCGTTTTGGGGCAGCACCGTTTCTTTTTCGCCCTCGGGAGCCTGTGTCATCGCGTCAAACAGCATCAACTGCGAGCTCCTCGACTTTTTCGGATTCTATTTGTAGAACAATCGCTGAGATTTCTTAAGCGCCGCCAAAATGGGTTGTGGAATGAGCACAGAGGAGAAGGAGGGCAAGGCCCGAAACGAGGAGATTGAGAATCAGCTGAAACGGGACAAGATGATGCAGCGCAACGAGATCAAGATGCTGTTGCTCGGTATGTGAGCTGCAGAGAACCTGCTCAGGCCACATTTTGGCGACGTCACACAGAACCAACCAAGTTCCATTCTCGAATTTTTGTGGTTACTGTTACTGGTCGCCTGGTGCTGGCACGGTGCAAATCCCTGGTATGAAGTGTTACTAACCCATCTTCTGACAGGTGCTGGTGAATCTGGCAAGTCTACGATTCTCAAGCAGATGAAGCTTATTCATGAAGGTGGTTACTCTCGTGATGAGCGAGAGTCTTTCAAGGAGATTATCTTCAGCAACACTGTTCAATCGATGCGAGTCATCCTTGAGGCCATGGAGTCCCTTGAGCTGCCTCTGGAGGACCAGCGAATGGAATACCATGTCCAGACTATCTTCATGCAACCCGCCCAGATCGAAGGGGAAGTTTTGCCTCCTGAGGTTGGTGGTGCTATCGAGGCCCTATGGAAAGACCGTGGTGTCGAAGAGTGCTTCAAGCGATCACGAGAATACCAGCTCAACGACTCTGCGAGATAGTACGTTGTACCTTCGATTGACGGAAAGCCATTACCTGGATGACTTTCTGCGTCGCGAAACGACTTGGCTAACTCTCAAATAGCTATTTCGATAACATCACTCGCATTGCAGCTCCGGATTATATGCCCAACGACCAGGACGTTCTGCGATCACGAGTCAAGACTACTGGTATCACCGAGACTACTTTCATCATTGGCGACTTGACGTACCGCATGTTCGATGTCGGTGGTCAACGATCAGAGCGAAAGAAGTGGATTCATTGCTTTGAGAACGTTACCACGATTCTGTTTCTTGTCGCCATTTCTGAGTATGATCAGCTGTTGTTTGAAGATGAGACTGTCAACCGTATGCAGGAGGCTTTGACACTGTTCGATTCTATCTGTAATTCAAGGTGGTTCATCAAGACGTCAATCATCTTGTTCCTCAACAAGATCGATCGTTTCAAGGAGAAGCTACCCGTCAGCCCGATGAAGAACTATTTCCCCGACTATGAGGGTGGTGATGACTATGCTGCGGCTTGCGACTACATCCTCAACCGATTTGTCAGCTTGAACCAGCATGAGACCAAGCAAATTTATACTCACTTCACCTGCGCCACCGACACTACTCAGATCCGCTTCGTGATGGCGGCTGTCAATGGTATGCCTTCGTCAAGTAGCCACCCTGTCACCTTTCTTATATAAAGCTAATATTGTTCTCTAGACATCATCATCCAGGAGAACCTTAGATTGTGTGGTTTGATCTAATCAATTTGTTTCATTTCATTGTTTTAAAACACGAATACCCTCAAGCTCATTAACGACCACCCAGGGGGCCACGGAGACACGGCTCATGATTTTTCTTTCATTGTACTCGTATCAGCGTAAACGAGAGACTTGATGTCTCTTGTTTATTCCCCATTGCCTATACTTCTCATCAGAGTTATATACTGCGGCGCTACGCTGTGTATGTGAAACCCAGGCGATGATTTTTTTTTCTTTTGGCTCTTCTGTGGGACCTGCTTGCGCCTCCACGCACACGATAGTGGTATACGATGTATCACTGGGTGCTACAACACGATACCTCGTATCAAAATACGGCAGAAAATGGGCTCAGAAAGGAAGAGTGCGTGGACAGAACCTCGAGCGGGGAGGGAGATACTACACAGCATCGTGAGTTAGTCGATGCATCGGCGTGGTGGTCATCTACTTTGTTTAATTACGAAAACTATTACTTTTTTCTATCATTTCCTCAAATTTTCGATGCTGTCGTCCCTGACTCGCGCGTTTCAGTTGTCTTCATTTCCTCTTCTTATCTGTTTATTCTTTCAATTTCTTCATCCATCTTTGTGGGAAATGGCACCTCAAGACAGCCTATTTGGATGAAGTGGTGAGAGAGTGGGGGCGTGCGATGCGGCGGTTGGAAACTATGGGACAGGAACAGGGCTTAGCTGAAGCTAGACCTAAAATAAGGATACACACATACATTAGCTTGTATGACAGACTCAAGTGACTATTTGTTCATCACATGCAGGATGGTCTATCTCCCGTACACCACTATGGTAAGTGGTGGGTACGGCAGGCAAATGGAATTGCTTGATGGCATGTATAAAATAAGCTAGTTCTTTCTATTCTACGTCCTAAGGATGTCTGGGATATAGACGTTCAAAACGTGGTGAACCAAGGTAACCCCTTTTACAAAATGTCCAATATCGTTTCGTTTTTGATCGTTGAGCTTGCTATAGTTCATGATATACCTGAACTGAACTCGGGGTATAAAAATTTCGTAGCAAATGTCAATCATAAGCAAAGTGCAAAGTAATAACAGATGCGCGCCTCTAACGCGCAATGTGTGAACGCCTTTTTCATAGTTCAACCAAATAGACGAGGAGAGTATCAAGGATGAAGCAATAAGTATAAAGCTTTCAACGAGAGTCTTTCGTTTGATCCGATAGTCTCTACATCCTCTGCAGCTGCCTTTCTTGTTTTCGTGAATCTTGGGTTGATGAGTTGGTGAATGTAGCTGTATTGGATGGGTAGGTCAGCTTACCTTTTTCTTGGTTTCATCTCACTCGACTTCTAAATTTCTACATGCTCGTTTTGCGCGACGCTATGCTTTTAAGCTTGCCGAATTGTAAGCCTGTGGGCGGTGAATACTGGCTATGGTCTCGGAAGTTCATTCTCATCACCACCGAGTCAGGTCAATGGCCCGCCGGGCGAGTTATCATCCATAGGCATGTCTCCCGCCTGACTTTGAGAGAGCTGATCTTGTTCCAGCCTTTGCTGCTCGGCGATTCCTTCTGGAGTTTGCAGATACTCATCGTATTCTGCAATACGCATGCCCAATTCCTTGGCCGCGGCCTCGATTCTGGCAATATATCGTCCTCTTCTTGTCAAGCTGACGATATCTCCCATCGTCTGGCTCAGAAACTGCCTAGTTTCATCAGCCAAGGCCCAATGAAGAATATCGGATTGCAATGACGTGACGGGAGGTGTTGCCGCAGTAGAGAGTTGCTGGTATGTCGCTACAGGCTGCGCTACCTGGGAGGAGGAAGGACCGGCTGCAGACGGAGCAAAGTGAGGTGGCTGAGGGTTATTGTTCTCTGATCAATACTTTGTTAGGATTCAGGATACATGAGTCAGGGTAGAAAGGAAACTCTAATAGGTCCGATAGTAGCCACGTACCATGAAACGTACACCTCGAACCACTCGCGTTAAACCAGCAGTTAGTACAACTGCCACACATTTGGCCGTCGTACACGACACATTGTGTCCATGGGCCATGACCTTTGTGACAATTTTTGCATGGCCGAGCAGCTACTTCACCGGTGACGTGGGCCAACAAAGCCTCGACGTTGCTACGCCTTTCAATGTTTAGCTTTTGGTCGCTCCGTCGCTGTGTTGGCTCTCGACGTGCTGCCTCTCCCGCAAGTTTCTTACAGAGGGCGCTGTCAATTCTCAGATTATCGCCGTATGCCTCCATTGCCACATCAGCCGCGGTTCGGCTTGGCGGACAGCAATTACTTCTTTCAGATACACTTGCACTCTCAGTTGGACCTGGCGAGGGAGTATGAAGACTGTCTGAGAAATGATGTTGGTCCAATTGCAGCCCTTCGTCGGCTTCCAACGCCTGCTGAAGGCTGGAAATAGAACCCGCAGTGTTACTGAGCACACCCGTATCAGAAAGTTGTACAGAATCACCCAAATGGCTGCTCGAATCAGCCATGGATGAGTGACCTAGATTTGCGGCATCCCTGGCGAAACCATCGTTGGAAGCGTGGTGCACCAAAGCTTCAAGATGGTCGTGAGCTGTACTTGGTAGTGGTGAATATCGACTGCCACGACGAGGAGCGGTGCCCGTCTTTATAACCTTGCTAGCTTTGCCTCGGGAGGGCATGGTCTTCATGGTCGGATGAGTATCGCTGAATATCAGAGATGGTGGCACCGACACAACTTCTTCCGATATAAGTCGGCCGCCATGGTTGAACGGCGATCCGGGAACACCTGGGTGTTGCTGGCATAGGTTGCCCAGATTCTGGTCGCCGCGTTGCAGCCCATGGTAGGGCGCCCAGCGGCGATTCATGACCCGCTGTGATTGGCCCAATGGGTCTCAAGGCGTGGTGTGTTTGCGGAAAACAGGGCCTTGAGGCAACCACCGGCTCCTTGACGTACAACGAAGAGAATATAAGATATTGTACGTACGCAACAGGGAAATGAAAAGATTGGAGATTTACGGGATGTTTTTAAAAATGTTGGGAACGGATGTTATTGAACGGGAAGATGTGGGTGCCTGAGGCCCGAGGAGAGGAACTCCCAATTTAGAAGCCGCAACTCACCTCCTGCTCACCTATCCTTCACTTTGCAACAGGGGTCACCAGTGCCACACGCAATGTAAATTCATCACAGTCGCTGAAATATGTTCAATTTCGATTTACGTCCTCCACATGTGTTTCTACGAACGCCGACCGGCCTATTGGCCCCATAATCCCTCTGCTCTACCTTCCGTAATCTCCTTCCACTGTTGGGCGAACTCCCGAAGCCCCCCCTCACCCGCAAGACTGGCATCTACGACCTCCTTTGGTAGCTTATGAGCAGAGTACTGCGGCGTACTGAAATTGAAAGCCGCAGGATCGTCCCTTTCAATAAGCCTCAGCTCAGGCAAGGCATTAGGTTCATAGTCCATGGTGGCATCGTCATCCGTCTCATCTGCGCCAGTCTCGTCCCCACTAGTGTCTACAGCTTGGTCAGTTCCAGCCGAGCCATATAGCGGAGTCTTGACTTCCATGTCAAGGAGTTCTGGCCACGAGAAAAGCAAAGTATCCGTTCGAGGGGCCCAAGGGTTAATGTCCATAAGGCGAACTTTTCCTAAACCATCGTCTGCCACAGGGTCCTCAGGGATATAAACGTCGAATGTGAAACAGGCATCTGGAAATGTGAGTCTCATCCTCTCTCTGAAAAAGGACCTGATCTTTCTCCATAATTGTGGGCGAAGGCCGTGCAAAAAGTTATAGTAATTCAGGTCTCGCTGCGTAATGCCAATAAGTGACCGATGCTTAACAAAACAGCGGAACTCTAGAGCAACATGGGGCGTGAAGAATGGCCTGAGGACAAGAACCGGACTAAATGGCCGGGACGGCGGTGCAGATGTGCAACCGTCAAACGCATGATCCAAATCGTGTGAGACGAATGACGACGACTTGAGTAAGAGGTATATATCGTTTGGCGATGTGCATTTTAACGTGTTTTGATGTGGCGACACCCATTTGGCGTCCTTGGGGGTCGACCAGTTGAGTTTGGGAGCAACGGCTCCGCCGAGTTCCTCAATGGTCTCCTTAATCTTTTTATGTGTCTCGGGAAACCTCTCATTTGGGGGTAGTCTAGGTGCCTCGTCTTCGTCCTCGTCGTCTGAAGAGTCCATATCTTTCTTGCCTTGGGAGTTGGCGTTTGCGCCTAATGAATGCCACTCCGGATCTGCGGGTGCAACAAAGACACCTTCGTCGGCCAACAGAATTCCGTCCTCTTGTAGGTATGCCACAAAAGTTTGAGGCAATGGAATGATTCTTGACTTCAAACAAGAACTCCTGTAGCTTGGGAACCATTTATCGTATGAGCAGTTCTGGATGTGGTCTTTGGTAACTGGAGGGAACACGAGCTCTGCGGCATGTTGCGGATTTGCGTCTGGGTCCGGTGTCAGGTGAGGCATAGTTCTAGCTAGTATTTAAACGAGATCAATGGATAGGGTAGAGAAAAGTGTAGTATAGTCTAGAAATTATAAAAATGATGTACATTGCCTGAAGACGCCTCCAGTAGAAAGTTCTGATCTGGTTTGGCTCGCAGCATAAAATTAAGTTGCATCCTCTCTTGCAAGGTCCCCCCCACCATCCGCCCTCGTCGATTTTGCCACTCTTTATCGACGCAGCGCCCACTCACCGCTTACTAAATTCAGTATGACTGATTGCTATCCCGTCTCCCCGCTACCAGGTTTCGGCAATCCTTCAGTCTCACATCTTTTTGATAATCCACCGTTCTAAATAATAGGAGTCAAATATGTCAGAAAACGTTGGTCTATCTACTCCAAGGGGAAGTGGAACCTCAGGGTACGTCCAGAGGAACCTCGCGCATCTCAAGCCTCGTGACCACGCAGCTCCATACCCCCAGGATTTGGATAGCTTACGCCATAAGCAACGACAACCCGACAAAGGTATCCTGGAACATGATCGCAAGAGACAAATTGAAGTCAAGGTTTTTGATCTAAGAGATAAACTTGAGGAGGATGAGTAGGCCATCACTATAGACTCCTTTGTCGTGCTGCATGCTAACAGAATGCCCAGGATCGATGAAGAAGAGATTGACAAACGATGCGACGAACTGCGCGAAAAGCTCCTCGCAGAGATGGAATCGGGCAAGAGGGGGGGCTCCGGACCGAGGCGAACATTCAAAGAACATCAAGTTCACGAAATGGCTGATGCCAAGATCAAGGAAAGCGAGCGATTAAGGAAGGCACTTAAAATTAGCCCTGAATATGAGGAAGGCAGTCACTGGAAGAGACAGGAAGAACGACTCCGAAATGCTCTTGAGAAAGAAGTGGACGAGAAGGAATGAGGGAGAAACTGAAGCTCGGAATAACGAAACGAAGGCCACGCGACAATCTGTTCAAGTTCGAAGGCACTACATTTCACAGCTGCGGGTCTACTAGTAGACTACTCAAAATGTGTGTATTGGCGTTTGGCTCGAAAAGCGTCCTGCGACGGAATTTACATCCACATTTAGCTCCGAGGAGACCATGATTCCTCCTCAATACGTCGAAGCATATGGTGTTCAGTGTTTATCGCTCTGAAGTATCACCTGTCACAGAACTAGCACAAGTAGCACAAGTTGCTTGGGAGGATGTGGATGAAAATGTGAGATTATGAATGAATGAGAGATACCGCCGGTCCAGATTCGGACGAATCCTTCACGCCGCGGAAACTCTAGGGTTTCGAATGCGACTTGCAGCGCAGAGTATCACAAGACTGATGGGACAATTCATGAGGGAGATGAGACATTGATAAGGATTCATATAGTTGCGTTGGATGCATCATTAGGATAAAATACGACTGCAATGGCATTTCTCAATACTAGAAGCTTTGGACACCATGATTGTGATATCACGACTGTTCTCAGGTCCGAGTCCTGTCACCTTCGAAGGTGGTCCGCCATTGGTCTGATGACCGGTTGAGAAATCATGAGACGATTTCGGAGCCTGGAGGACGGAAATGGGCATTGGGTGGCTCTTGCCGTTAGTATTCCGCTTTAGGAATCAGACGAGAGGGTCAGAGTTTTGTGCATGAAATATCTCATACGCCAAGCTTGAGTACGAGGGTTATATCTCCCATCCTGTGCGGAATGTCGTCAAATTGGCTGCATTTTACGGAGTACAGCTCGACTTGCATGCCTATCAGGCGATGAGGGTCACATTCCGCCCATCATTATTTGACCCCTGCCCCAGTCACCGCTAGCATGAACCTGGTAATTAATTGTGCGCAGCTTCACCCTGTCTGGTCGGGACTCTGATGTCTGATCCAGCCTAACAGCTTGGGCGAATCGCACCGATCACCGACTTTCTCAAAGACTGTAGAATCTCTGATGCTAAAGTAGAAAGGCGAGACTACTTTTCCCCAGGGCGGTTGGCGTCCTCCATAAGTCCCCCCGATCGTCGCGATATTGAGAAACAAGAAGTGCTGACCCAGCGCCGTTCAAGCCTTTTGCATCATGCTATCGACACTCTCCATTGTGCTGTTCCTTGCAGCTGTGGGTTCGGTGACTGATGCTGGGTGTTCAGGACAGACTGACTTTAAAACCCGTTGCTTGTCTTTTGAGCCAGAGAAGCTGGTTGAGAATTCCAAGCGCATGCGCCTCGAGTATGTCACCAATGGCACGACTCTCGAATTTCCAGACAATGACACGTCGTGCAAGAGGGCCTCGCAGCTCGTTGCTGCCAATTTGTGCCGGATAGCGCTACATATTGAAACATCTAAGCGATCTGGCATTACCTTCGAGCTCTGGTTACCCGAGATGTGGACCGAGGCAAGATACATATCAACTGGAAACGGTGGCGTCGATGGATGTAAGTTTGCCTCCAGTTTTCCAATTCCGCATGGGCAATTCCGATCAACTAACCGCGGCAGGCGTCAAGTATGAGGATTTGGCATATACAACTGCCAATGGCTTTGCCGCCATGGGAACGAATAATGGCCATAACGGCACTACGGGCGTGTCATTCCTGAATAATCCTGATGTTGTCGAGGACTTCTCGTATAGAGCGTAGGCCGCACTCTCATAGTCAGTTGATATTGCATCGAGTGACTAATTACTAGTTGAATTGATCTCATTTAGCCTCCACACCGGCACGGTAGCAGGCAAGTTGTTGACCGGCCAATTCTACAAAAAAACTCCCGCTCATTCATACTACATTGGATGCTCTCTGGGTGGTCGTATGGGCGTCAAAGCTGCTGAAGCCTTTCCAGATGATTATGATGGAATTGTTGCTGGATGTCCTGCCGTTGACTTCCTTCATCTACAAGGAGCGAGAGCCATGTTCTATCCCGTCACCGGTCCCGCCGGCTCATCCAACTTTATTCGCCCTGAGCTGTGGACTGGCTTAATCCACGATGAGGTCCTCAACCAGTGTGACCTTCTCGATGGCGTGAAGGATGGTATCATTGAAGTGCCAGACAAGTGCTACTTCGACCCCGAAACCTTGCAGTGCCCGATGCCCTGGTGGCCATTCGGCAACAAGGACAAGTGCCTCAACTCTCAACAAGTACTGCAGCTGAGGAGGATTTACGCCGCCTACAAGTACCCTGATGGCACGTTGATATTCCCTCGCATGAATCCGGGTAACGAGGAGAAAGCTGTAAAGAAATTACTTGCCGGGGCACCGTTCAGCTATTCTCAAGTAAGCACGTATCTCCACGTCAAAGCCCACTGACACTCACTAAGTAAATTAGGACTGGTTCCGATACGTTGTCCTCAACGACTCAAATTGGGATGCTATAAACTACAACTCCTCCCTCGTAGCCCTAGCCGACGCCCAGAACCCCTTCAATATCAGAACTTTTCCTGATAGTCTCCCCGCATTCAAAGCCAAAGGCGGCAAGATGATTAGTTACCACGGCGGCCAAGATAATCAAATCACAATGTTTAACACGGAGCGTTTCTGGGACCACATGGCCAAAGAGGACCGCCACTTGCACGTTTATTACCGCTTTTTCCGTGTCTCTGGCATGTTCCACTGCAATGCTGGCCCTGGAGCTTGGGCATTCGGACAAGGCGGTGGTGCCCCGGCAGCGGGGATCCCGTTCGATCCCGAAAGGAATGTGCTTGCCGCTATTGTTGCGTGGGTTGAAGAAGGGAGAGCACCGGAGACTTTGACGGGGACAAAGTTTGTTAATGATACAGTGGCTTTAGGTGTTGATTTCCATCGCAGGCACTGTTTGTAAGTTTCATGCTGGAAGCTGAGGAGAAATATCGCTGACATGTGCAGATACCCAAGGACGCAGACTTACATTGGTGGAAACCATAAGCATGCTTCAAGCTGGAAGTGTGTGTAGTACGGCTTGAATGGGAGTTTGTATCTATATAATGTGATTAAACTCCTCCATCTGATACAGGACACGTATTCCCGCCAGATTATATCTGAATTTCATCTCATCATGTCATCATACTCTTTTCTACTGCCTACAGGGTGCTATTATTCCAACTACGTGTTTAGATATGCTCGTGAATACACCTTTGTCCCTGCTACTGTTATAGTTATGGCCTATCTCAATTCCCCGCTCAAAGGATCCGAGGTAGGCACAGTCTCCGACAACTTGGGCGGTTGACCGTTGGGTCGGAGACAAAAGATGCAGCAATAGCGGCTCATGGCCGAGTATCCCGATTCGTATAGTACAAAATACAAATATATTGTAATTGTTGGAAATGCTCTAATTATAAGTGTCGTCCTAGAACGGTGCAGTGCAGTGTCCTTGAGCGGCTTTGGTAGTGATTCGGCCCTCTTGGTAAGGCGAACAAAGCGCGGTTGATGCTTGTTCTCGGTGTTTATATATTCAAGTTCAATTTCGGGTGGCCACTTACCGTCTAGGCGAAAGAAATAGCGTCGTGCAGGTATATATAGCTGGTTGTCCTCTCGCATGAATTTCATAATCCAATCGTGTACAAGGCCGGGCTAATGGGTAAAGCTGGCACGTAGAGTCAGCGAGGCCATGGCCGCATGACTATGAAGAGCCGCCCGGGATAGTCAAGGGGTTTGACGAAGCTGTAGAAAGTCAAGAATCTTGCTTCCAGCTTGGTCATCGTCGTCAGACGCTTCCGCCAAGCTCTCGTCAACCCACCCTTCGGTCCTCTCGCCGCCACGGTCAATAGGCCAAGCGTTGTCAGAATGAGTATTCTCGCGGAAGGATGTTTGAACGAAGATCGAGGAGTGGTGGCGGGGCGAGGATATCAAAAGTGGCGGCTCCAGCGCCGACAATGGCAGCAAGAAGCTCATCTTGGACCGCACATCATCCTCATCGCCGCTGAAGCGTGCAGATGTGTGCTTTTTGATAAGAGCGTTTTCTGTCGCAATGTAGTCGAGATTCGCCATCGCTCTTTGCCCGTTCCAACGGAGATGAAATGTAACCCCATCGACGCATGCGTATGAGGCGCGTTCAACATGCTAGACGGCGGACATGGTTGGAATTTCGAGAGCAGGAACGGTTTACAAACTTGCAGCATCCGGTCGTCTTTCGTCCGGAGCCAATTTAGTTGTACTGGCCTCAGATTGATAAGTCCGGAACTTTTGTGACCAGGGACCTCGAACCACATTTACATACCAGGAAATCAGCTATAATATTAAAGTGTATTAGTATATATTTCTTAATAGGCAAGTATATTCTGCCACGAATCATGTATGACGACGCCGCGTATTCACAAGAAGCCTTGGATCGGATCATCGAGGCCTCGAGGGGAGAAGACTATGAGCTAAACGCCTTGGCAGCCTTTGAGTCTGTTGTAGGCATCATTAGGAACGAGATGGGGCTTACGGGGAGGCGCAGGTGTCGTTTTCTAGGAACGAGACCAACTTGAAGCTACTGCTTCAGCTTTGTAGTTCAACAAGACACGACTTGACCGCCAGCATCTTGTAAAGACTGCCCCCGAGAGTTGTTTGCCAGGAATTGACCACGTATAGAAACGGGAATCAAGTGCCACAATATCAGGACAGAATCGCGAACAAGTCGTGCACACCCTGAAGCGTATGCAAACCACGAGCTTTCCCGTGTTTTCCAAGACCTAAAGCAAGTTTCGTTGGTGAGGCTATGAGCCCAGTCTTCCTTTATTTAAGCGCTAGATGGGTATTTTGGATGGGTGACAGGCAACGAACGACGTTTAACATGAGTCTCTAGCAACACCAGGCCCCGATTCGTCTAGATGTGAATTGGCTGGTGGAGTTGTAGGACCAGGCTCCTTATACACAACCAAATCCTCTGCCGTGCCCACTTCTTCCAGGCTCGTCGCGGACAGTATCAGCGCCCAAAGGCGATCACGCAGGGTTTCGTGGGGTTCATAGGGAATGGCGGTGATCCGGATCGAAACATGCTGTGGCTCCGACGGGGTTTTGAACGGGTCCCTCAACATGCGTATGAATTCGGATGATATGTTTGCAGTGTAGAGGTGTATGAAATTGGTGTCCTCGGACGAATATAGCACTTTGGACTGCATTCATTCATTAGCGAGGTAGCAACCAACACGGATAGTGACGCAGTACGTACGATGACGCCGGTCACAGGCTTGGTCGCGAAGGCTCTCCATTGTTCTTGGGCAAGGGCAATCAATACCGCCACCAGGTACGGATCGTGGAGTGGCTCGGTGAAGGTCGATCGAAGCTTTCTCCATTTCCGCGCAGCCAAACTGCGGCCTACACTATTGAACTCAGAGGCACAGAAAGTTCTAGAACACCTCTCCCTGCGCCATGAAGCAAGGCGGTCAGAATCAAGATATGCAACAGGAGGCTTAGTTGGAAGGCCAAGTCCATTTCGCAGGTAAAAGTAAAAGACAGGTATTGAAGTGTCCCGATAGGCCCCAAAGCCAAAGTTCAGTTCCGGCTCACAACTGTGTAGGAGAATGTTAGACGGAAATGCAATGAAAGAGAATAGTTGGACTTACCAGAGTCCTAGCGGAGCCTTGTCTGATTTTTCATCATAAAGGAGAGGCAAGACTGCGGTTGTCATGTCAAAGGACTCGGAGAATTTCCCATCCTTGGTCTTCACTGGACGGAAAACCTCGCCAGAGTCAAGACCTCTCATCACAAGCGTTGGAGGTGCGACATGGGGTCGAGTAAAGGTGCATCCTAGGAGCTCGACTTGCAGTTTCGTCCAAAAGAGAGGATTCACGAGAACCCGGAATCTAGGGAAGCGGCGGCATCTCGCAATGATGGAAAGATTCTCCAAGTCAGAGGGAGTTTCCGAAAGGGGCCCAGTGCCGGAGGCTGGGGGTGGTTGATTTTCCATTGAGTGACGAAGCTCGAGGCTGGTGTACGGCAAAGAACGAGAAGACATGCATTGGGGACCAAGGACGAAAGCGGAATTCATTGTTTTATCCTTTGGCTGTGTCAAGGGGCATTTACTATACTAGGTTATGGTTTCAGCTAACAAGATATCTCAACTTTAAAAATATATAAAGTTTACTGAAAATAATATAAGATGAAAAGTATTCATAATTCTACTACGACTAAAAGCATTCATCAATATTTTGGTTGCACGCCGTGGCTGAGGCTATTGCGGGATAGCCTTTACCGGTGCACCACGATGAATCACTAATCGTACTACAGATAGCTTTAACGCACCGTGATGCGTGTGTTGATAGTGTTTGACGCGGTAAGGCCAGGTATCGTGTTACCCTTGGCTGGTACAGTGTTTGCACGATTAAGATAGTTATAAAAAAGAAAGAGAAAAAAAAAAAAAGAGAGAGAGAGAGAGAGAGAGAGAGAGAGAGAGGATATGCGCTCATCTTGTTACCAGAGAGGTGTCTATAAAGTATAATCGCTACAAAAGTCAATGGAGTCGGTAATTCACAATTACCTAAGGTGGGGCGTGGCACGAGTACAGGATGCCTTCGCTGCTCTAACGGGATAAGTGACGCCCCACTAATGCCCCATGAAAGCTTCCTGGACGTCACACGTCAGTTCACAACCGCCCGGCCATGTCCAGTCCCCAATCTGCTTCCGCATCGTGCTCAAAATGGCACTTCTGTCACAGGATCCCCCTCTGCCAGGCACCGCATCTGCATCCGCCGACACCGCTCTTGCGGAATTGACACAGCTGCTTTTACGGTTGCAGAACAACCTTCTACATCCAACTCCAGACCGAGAACGACGACTACGAACGAGCGAGTACGAAAGGGCGAAAACAGAGGCGGTAAGTCAGGCTCAAAGCCTAGATACGGTGCGCCGTGACTGACAAGGCGTGACGCAGAACCTGGAATATGCACGAAATGTCTTGACAAAGCTCGAACAAGATGCTCTCCGTATTAAGGCCCCGACGAGGAGGGTTGAGACGCAGAATCTCTTGAATGTGAACCGAGATCGACTAGAGACGCTCCTTGATCGACTGCAAGACTTGCGACATGTTAGACCAATCTATCCGCTCCACGGTCTGGTTGTTGCTGACTCACGTGCAGATGGCCATGGACGAAGACGACAGCTCAGACGGGGAGGATCTCCTGGGCCACATAATCCCTACGCCTAGCGAAAGCATGGACTCAAGATCCTCAGACACAAGAGACGAACACAATGCGCTCGAGACGCCGCCCAACTCTTCGACTACAGAACCCACTCCTCAAGAACCCATCCCACGTACACCATCACCAACCCCAGCCGGCTCTTCACAGCCAACTACGCAAACTACACAAACTCTACGGTCACGCTCATCTGCCCGACCGACCGCAGCATCACACACCACCGCTAGAGCAGCCCTCTTTGCGAATCGTCCCAAACCACCCGAACCACAAACAACCACCGCCACAGCCGAGGCCATTCTCGAGAACCAGAAGGCCGAGCAGGACGACCTGTCACGTTCCATTCTTCAGCTGGCCAGCGCACTAAAAGACAGCTCGAAACGATTCGCGGTCACGCTAGAAGCAGATAAGGATGTGCTCGAGAAAACGGGCGAGGGCATAAACAAGGCGGAACAGGGCATGCGGTCGGCCGCTGGAAGGATGGGCAAGTTGCGGCAGATGACGGAGGGAAAGGGCTGGTGGGGACGGATGATTTTGTATGCGTGGGTATATGGCCTGATGTTGAGTTTGGTGCTGTTGGTGTTTCTAATGCCCAAGTTGAGATTTTAATGCATTATGGGCTACGAATCAAGGGGGTAACCCGGCGGTCTGAGATATCACTGTGTATGGCCCGGGTTTGAAATTGTATTAATTTATGATATCATGAGCAAAGTTGTTCTGTCCATAGCAAGTCTGTGATGTAGCGAGTGATTTTGTAGTTTCTGCATGTCCTGTCCCCAGCTCCGCTTCCATTTCGCCGGTGTCCTTGGTCGTCATCTGCCTGCAAACTCTCCCTCTATATATGCCCTGTCGCTCGGCTGAAACTGCTCTTTCGTCAACCGTAAACATTGTATTAAGCCTTCCAATTATGTCGGATGAAGAATTCCTGCCTTGTCCATCATTTTGCTCCATTACTGCCAAACTCACCAACTGTCTCGTCAAACTGCCCATCTGCATGTGTATCTCGTGGTGACGTCCTCTTCCGCTGGAGTAAACACCGAGGCATGGTGTCAGTCTCATATTGCTTTGTCTCGATTGTGACGAGGGTCTCGAACCTCGTCATTGGACTCAATGTCCATATCACGACCGAATAGCCCTTCAGAGTCGCCACTCTGAGAACTGCGTCCATCCTGATCGTCACCTGTACCAGACACACCTTGTTCCTGACCCTCACTCGTGGCAATCTTGTCCAGGGGTGGCCCCCTTAGCGCCCTATTCAACTCGAAGCAAAAGTAGCGAGACCATAGCTTGTCCCGTCCGGTGGACTTGCCACCCGTCTATTTACGATCAGCAACCACGGGTCAAGATGAGAACAAGGACGCACAACGTACCGGGGCCGTGTACTGGAAATATTCAGCGGGCATGGTAGCCTGTCTAATGATTCGTTCCGGCCAAGGAATCCCCGTCTTGAGCTTGAAAAAGGCTCTAAACGCGTCCATCTGAGTGTTTTGCAGCGTGGGAAAATCCGTCTCTCGATAGTAGTGCGGCTGGGCATCGCCTTTACACTTGGAATATTTCGCTGCGAACCAGTATAGATGCGGCTTGGCCTTGGACTTGTAGAGCTATATTCGAGTTAGAGGCTCGACGCAACGACTTGCATGCTGTCTATCAAGAGCTCACGTAGAGTGTATACGTCTCCAGCTGTTCTTTCTCCGGGTCTGCCTCTGAGTCATGGGCAGTAAGGCGAGTTAGCTCGATTCTGTATGGGAATAGCAGGTCGTCGTCGAAGATTTGGTAAAGGTCTGGCGCGTTATTAGTCACAACTGGCGATGGAAACAGAGAAACACACAGAGTACAAACTAGGGTCGATGAAGCGCTTCGCCAGTCGTTTCCCCTTCTCGAGTCTAACCGTTCTTCGCTCCTTTTCCTTCTTCTTGTTGTACTTGGCGCGGAGGTCGTAGTCTTCTTCGGGCTGTCGCGCTTCCCTGCCACCCATGGAGAGGAGGAACCACTCATAGCGGACGATGTGGCACTTGAGCCTAAGTGCTTTTTTGACTATCAGCAGTTAGTACGCTCTCACTTGTGGCTTAAAAAGGCTGGAGGTTGGGTCGGAGTCATGAAACCAATCGGGTTATGGGCGTTGAACTGTTCCTCGGAGCAGAGAAGGTGAGTGACACTCTCGTCGAAGGTGGTTCTGAACTCGCCCTTGCGTAGCTTGGTCCAGTTTTTGAAGTTTTCTACTTTGTTGTTGTCTGGGAGGGGACCGGCTGCAGCTATAATCCTGCCTCTGAAAATGGGCTGCGGGCTTGAGAATGAATCGCGCGGCATGGCAAAGGAAGGATGAGGTAAGTGGCAATGCAAAATGTGCGGCAAGCAGCCCAGATCAAGCTGTATGTAGATATTCGAGAAATAGGAAGAATGTAATTTTTGGCTTCAGATGCAAAGCATAGCATCAAGTTCTCTGGCGAGGATTTGATCCTGGGTAATCGTTGCGAGAGCGAATGGAAGGTATGTGAAGTTGTAGGTTATTTTATACTACGCAGACCGGTCACTTGTGTGCTGAGCTCGCAAGCTTAAAAATAATAGGAGAATAGAAAACAAATATAATAATATGAGGTAAATGCTAAATGCTAATCGCTGACGAAATAGGAAGAACCGGAAGCAAGTAGAAGGCTTAGATGGATGGCTCCGTGGTTGTTCGTGTAAGTGCTCCGTTTGTGAACTGGGCGATACTCACACGCGCGGCGAATTTGAGCTCATGGGACAAATGCACAGTCTCGCGTGACAGTTGGTCAAGAACAATTCCATGGCGCCTACAGTGAATTTTGTATCTATTACACGTAATGTCATCGCATTCTATTATTGTCAGCAATTATTGCCTTTGTTGTGCCCCCGCTGGTTGAATATCCTGAAACTTGACCAAGGAAAGTAGGCAAGTGCGGACAAGACACTGACAGCAGCCGAGAGTTGTATGTAGTAGCAAGGGGCGAAACTCAGAAGTTAACCGGCATAAAAATAGAATCAACTGCCATTCATGATATACTTTGTCTTCTTTCGCAGGCCTAGAATAAATTATCGAATCGCCTTGCTAGCCTTGACAAAAGCATCGATTTTCTCAAGACTCTGTTTGCTACCTACCTCGACGCCACTGCTGACATCCACACCTATTACACGATTACTGAGGTCTCCCAGTGCCTTGACGGCCTCGGTAACGTTCTCTGGGTTCAAACCTCCAGCAAGGAATATCCGCAGGTCAGGGTCCCTTTCCAGAGCCGCCTTGACTTTCGAAACATCCAGCAGCTTTCCAGATCCAGCGCCCGAGTCGAGCAAAGGAATGGTGTGATAGCCACGAAGTCCGATTCCGACATTGTCTGGCTTGAATGATCGGATGACTGGGACGGGGATAATCTTGGCCCACTCGATGGGTTCCTCTCCGTGGAGCTGTACCATGTCCAGTTTGTACTGTCTCTGCTTCTCCAAGACTTCACTTAGAGGCTGGTTCTGGAACACACCTACCAACCGCGTCCTTGAGCTCTGCAGACGATCTTCTGCGGCGGCGAAGAAATCAGTAGCTCCGCTCTTTGAAATCGGCTCCTCTTTTCTGTCTGTCAGATTGTCCCCTGATGCATGAACAGCTTCTGAGATGGCCAAAGCAGTCTCGTGTGAGACACACCGTTTTGTACCGGGCACCAGGATGATCCCAACAAAGTCAGCCTTGGATTCAACGGCCTGTCTCGCCGCCTCAGGACTTCGAGTTCCACAAACTTTAACAAAAAGGGGTTTTGGCTGTCGTTTCTTCTCTGAAGGCTTGGATCCTGAGCACAATTCCGCAATGAAGGACGTGGCGTCTGGCGCTCGCATGATTGACTCGCCAACAAGAATCGCGTCGACACCATCATCCTTGCATGCAAGTACATCTTTGTGGCTGTTGATACCTGAAAGTGCACAGATCACTGTGCTTTCGGGAACCATTTTCCGCAGTCGGCCGGTTGTGTCCATGTCCACCTCAAAGCTCTCCAAGTTTCGATTGTTGACACCGATGACTTTTGAGCCAAGCTTTACAGCGGTCTCCATTTCTTCAGCAGTTTGGACCTCTACTAAAGGCTCCATCCCCAAGGAAAGGGAGTACTTGTACAATCGCTCTAGGAGTTCGGTCTCCAGCATCTTGACAATCAGAAGCACAGTATCTGCGCCGGCCAGTCTTGCTTCCAAAATTTGATATTCGTCAAAAATAAACTCCTTTCGTAGAATGGCAGGCCTGTTTGGCATACCGTCGAGCACCTGTCGAACGGCACGGAGGTCATCAATACCACCCTTGAACCACTCAGGTTCGGTAAGCACTGAGATGACACTTGCACCAGCCAACGCGTACTTTCTGGCCTGCACCGGTGCGTTTATTTCAAGGGCAAAAATACCCTTGGAGGGAGATCCGCGCTTGATTTCAGCCATTAAGGCTACATCAAAAGGTGTCTGCTTAAGGCGAGCCAAAAAAGGGACTTGGGGAGGGGCAGCATTCAACTCGTAAGCAGCTTCAAGATCAGACATTCTTTGAGAAGGAATCTGTTTTTGAGCTTCTACTGCAGCTCTCCGATTTGCGTAGATCCTTTGAAGAATGTTGTTGTTCTTTGGTGATGGTGCTGTGGTGGTCCCGTTGGTTGCGGCTGTCTTCTGCAGCTGGGCGTTCTCTTCCCAGGTGCCACCTTGCATGTGCAGGAAGTTCTTAATAATTGTGCGGCCGTGAGCTGTCAGAATGCTTTCGGGATGAAACTGTACACCTTCCATGGCAAACTTCTTATGGCGGACACCTTGAATGATGCCTTGTGAACCATCATCCTTGGCTACCCAGGACGTCACCTCCAAACATTCGGGAAGTGTAAGGCGGGTCCCCGCCAAAGAGTGGTATCGAGTTACGGGAAGGCCTTGCTCAAGACCGGCAAAAACTCCTTTCGAGTCGTGGGTCAGTGGTGACGTCTTCCCGTGAAGCCACTCTCCGGCAGAGTCGACCTGACCACCATAGACATCAAACATGCATTGCCTAAGGAGTGTTAATATTATTTCCCAGCCGGGGACAAGTACAGCATAGATAGCTACTCACAGCCCCATGCAGACACCAAAAATGGGAATCTTGCCCGCAAAGTGTCGAATCGCGTCTCTGCTGACACCAGAGTCGGTGGTGGGATGGCCAGGACCAGGGCTGATAATGAGCTGAGTTGGGTTCTTTTTTACCAGCTCCTCAATGGTGATTTGGTCATTTCGGAAAACGTGAACTGTAGCACCCTCCAGAACCAGGTATTGATAGATATTCCAGGTGAAAGAGTCGTAGTTGTCAATGAGAATAAGATTAGATGCCGTTGCTACCGGTGGTGAGGGCTCAGGCTGGTGGGGTGAGTGATCAACGAGGGCTGGCGTAGTCATCTTGACAAAATGTACATGAGAGCTTAGAAGAAAATAAAGTTGGACTGTTGGAGTTCCAGATAATCCTGGCTACCTTTGCTGATGGAGAGGGGATGTGGCAGCTTATCATGGACGTGAGTCAATAGTTGTACGAGCAATAGATTGGCAGCGTCGCAACGAAAAAAAGCCCATATCGTATAAAGTTATGCACTGTATATGCACACAGACCGGATGTAATTTGTCATAGTGCGTAATCACAGTGCGCTCATGTTTAATGCTGCCTCCGATGAGTCTCCGGCAGTCGCCAAGGTGCATCCGTTGTTGGTTAGGCTGGCTCATCCGGTACCTGGCCGGTTGAACATCGGCAGGCCGTTGAGCTCCATGTCCAGCCCAAAAAAAGTTGACGCTGAAGCGGCCTGCAAGAGAGCTCTGCTAGGTCCATATCGATTGCTGGGCTCGCGACAGCAGCGTGTCAACACCAACCTTTTTATCACCAATCCTTCCTGGGTGATGCATCGTGTACCACTGCCACTTTAGTGACGCTCGTGGCAATGGCGCCGGTGTCCGATAGCAACTATTTTCCCTCCCTGGGAGACTGCTTGTCTGGGGAGCGAGTGCTTTTGTGAGTCTCAGCACTCTGAAGTTGAGGGCTGGGGCCAGCCTCTTACTAACGATTGCTTTTCTCGCAGATCCTGGAGGCATGTTGCTACAGCTTTAACCGACGACTCCGGCAGAAGGCAAAGAAGCACCGGGGTCGTCAACTTCTTGTCCGATGATTATGTCCACGCGCTTTTGAAAGATCCCTCTACTGCGTTTGCGCCACCCAGTGAGGCTGCAAGGAAGGACTTCGAAACAAAAACGGCGCCAATCAACGTGACCTCAGCATCGACAGAACGATACGATATCGAGTTGCTCAAGCAAGATGCCGAATGGCTGAGCAAGAGCGCAAAAATTAATTTGGTTGCTGCATTGCGAATTGCTGCACTAGAGGTGCAATCGAGACCAAATCGCCATCTCGTTGGACCGTTGTCATCTCAGGATGTAACAAATCTTCAGGAAGCCGCAGGCCTTCAGAATGGACGAAGTGCAACCTTCATGCCAGACTTTGGGGCTGGCAACGCTCAAGATGCTGATGAGATTTCCGCCGAGTTTGATGCCGCCGATTCGAGAAAGCGCCGGCTTTTCAGCATGTTCTTGACTGAGCGAAGATATTTCATCATGACTGTGGATTATTTGCAATCGATTAGACTGTATGGAAGGCTACCGATCTTCACCCCTGTCAGCGACAAATTGGCAGCACTCTACAAGCTAAAGGCTTCGTCAAATTGCAAGGACGAGAGCGTATCGTTCCTGTCCGCATATCTCAAAGTCATCACATCCAGCATGACCAGCTTAGAGGCTGGTCTCAAGTCAGTGACCGACGAATCTATCCTGATGAAGGAAGATATTGAACTGGATTGGCTGGAAACCCTACTCACCGAGATCATTCATTCTCAATCTGTGGTATTCCAACTGGTGGACAGCCTTGGCAATGACTTCCCGCCTTCCAGTGTTATCAATCAGTGGTTTTCATTGATGGACTTGTACAATTTCTTTGATACCCTTCAACCTGTCCGTAAAAATGGCCCGCGCTGCTTTCTACAACTTGATTGCTAACCAATAAACTAGATAAATCAAACGATCGGCGAATTGGTTCTGCCACTGAAGACAATTGCTGTTGCCGTCTCTATCAGTCTTCTTAAACCCGCCCGATCCTTGACATTTTTAGCTGAGAGAGAAGAGGACCCGACGCCGTCCGATGATATGTACGATTCGTACTTGATACTGTCAGACATCTTGGAGCAGGTTCATAAGAGTGTTCTCAATGCGGCCGGCATGGATTGCGAAAGCGCTACTCCGGTCATCTTTGCTTGGACCCTTATTCTCCACCGTAT